AGTCTCAGTGTCCGGCTAGTCTCTCTCCGTCGTGTCCGTCTAGTCTCTCTCCGTCGTGTACGGCTAGTCTCAGTGTCCGGCTAGTCTCAGTGTCCGGCTAGTCTCTCTCCGTCGTGTCCGGCTAGTCTCTCTCGGTCGTGTACGGCTAGTCTCAGTGTCCGGCTAGTCTCTCTCCGTCGTGTCCGGCTAGTCTCAGTGTCTGGCTAGTCTCAGTGTCCGGCTAGTCTCTGTCCGTTGTGTCCGGCTAGTCTAATTCCGTCGTGTCCGGCTAATCTCTCCGTCGTGTCCGGCTAGTCTCAGTGTCTGGCTAGTCTCAGTGTCCGGCTAGTCTCTCTCCGTCGTGTCCGGCTAGTCTCAGTGTCCGGCTAGTCTCTCTCCGTTGTGTCCGGCTAGTCTCTCTCCGTCGTGTACGGCTAGTCTCTCTCCGTCGTGTCCGGCTAGTCTCAGTGTTTGGCTAATCTCAGTGTTGGGCTAGTCTCAGTGTCCGGCTAGTCTCTCTCCGTCGTGTACGTGTACGGCTAGTCTCTCTGCGTCGTGTACGGCTAGTCTCAGTGTCCGGCTAGTCTCTCTCCGTCGTGTACGGCTAGTCTCAGTGTCCGGCTAGTCTCTCTCCGTCGTGTCCGGCTAGTCTCTCTCCGTCGTGTCCGGCTAGTCTCTCCGTCGTGTCCGGCTAGTCTCTCTCCGTTGTGTCCGGCTAGTCTCTCTCCGTCGTGTCCGGCTAGTCTCTCCGTCGTGTCCGGCTGGTCTCAGTGTCCGGCTAGTCTCAGCGTCCGGCTAGTCTCTCTCCGTCGTGTCCGGCTAGTCTCAGTGTCGGCTAGTCTCAGTGTCCGGCTAGTCTCTCTCCGTTGTGTCCGGCTAGTCTCTCTCCGTCGTGTACGGCTAGTCTCTCTCCGTCGTGTACGGCTAGTCTCAGTGTCCGGCTAGTCTCTCTCCGTCGTGTACGGCTAGTCTCAGTGTCCGGCTAGTCTCTCTCCGTCGTTTCCGTCTAGTCTCTCTCCGTCGTGTACGGCTAGTCTCAGTGTCCGGCTAGTCTCAGTGTCCGGCTAGTCTCTCTCCGTCGTGTGCGGCTAGTCTCTCTCCGTCGTGTACGGCTAGTCTCAGTGTCCGGCTAGTCTCTCTCCGTCGTGTACGGCTAGTCTCAGTGTCCGGCTAGTCTCTCTCCGTCGTGTCCGTCTAGTCTCTCTCCGTCGTGTACGGCTAGTCTCAGTGTCCGGCTAGTCTCTCTCCGTCGTGTACGGCTAGTCTCTCTCCGTCGTGTCCGGCTAGTCTCAGTGTCCGGCTAGTCTCAGTGTCCGGCTAGTTTCTCTCCGTCGTGTCTCCGGCTAGTCTCTCTCCGTCGTGTACGGCTAGTCTCAGTGTCCGGCTAGTCTCTCTCCGTCGTGTCCGTCTAGTCTCTCTCCGTCGTGTACGGCTAGTCTCAGTGTCCGGCTAGTCTCTCTCCGTCGTGTACGGCTAGTCTCTCTCCGTCGTGTCCGGCTAGTCTCAGTGTCCGGCTAGTCTCAGTGTCCGGCTAGTCTCTCTCCGTCGTGTCCGTCTAGTCTCTCTCCGTCGTGTACGGCTAGTCTCAGTGTCCGGCTAGTCTCTCTCCGTCGTGTACGGCTAGTCTCTCTCCGTCGTGTCCGGCTAGTCTCAGTGTCCGGCTAGTCTCAGTGTCCGGCTAGTTTCTCTCCGTCGTGTCCGGTTAGTCTCTCTCCGTCGTGTACGGCTAGTCTCAGTGTCCGGCTAGTCTCAGTGTCCGGCTAGTCTCTTCGTCGTGTCCGGCTAGTCTCTCTCCGTCGTGTCCGGCTAGTCTCTCTCCGTCGTGTACGGCTAGTCTTAGTGTCCGGCTAGTCTCTCTCCGTCGTTTACGGCTAGTCTCAGTGTCCGGCTAGTCTCTCTCCGTCGTGTCCGGCTAGTCTCTCTCCGTCGTGTCCGGCTAGTCTCTCCGTCGTGTCCGGCTAGTCTCTCTCCGTTGTGTCCGGCTAGTCTCTCTCCGTCGTGTCCGGCTAGTCTCTCCGTCGTGTCCGGCTGGTCTCAGTGTCCGGCTAGTCTCAGCGTCCGGCTAGTCTCTCTCCGTCGTGTCCGGCTAGTCTCAGTGTCGGCTAGTCTCAGTGTCCGGCTAGTCTCTCTCCGTTGTGTCCGGCTAGTCTCTCTCCGTCGTGTACGGCTAGTCTCTCTCCGTCGTGTACGGCTAGTCTCAGTGTCCGGCTAGTCTCTCTCCGTCGTGTACGGCTAGTCTCAGTGTCCGGCTAGTCTCTCTCCGTCGTTTCCGTCTAGTCTCTCTCCGTCGTGTACGGCTAGTCTCAGTGTCCGGCTAGTCTCAGTGTCCGGCTAGTCTCTCTCCGTCGTGTGCGGCTAGTCTCTCTCCGTCGTGTACGGCTAGTCTCAGTGTCCGGCTAGTCTCTCTCCGTCGTGTACGGCTAGTCTCAGTGTCCGGCTAGTCTCTCTCCGTCGTGTCCGTCTAGTCTCTCTCCGTCGTGTACGGCTAGTCTCAGTGTCCGGCTAGTCTCTCTCCGTCGTGTACGGCTAGTCTCTCTCCGTCGTGTCCGGCTAGTCTCAGTGTCCGGCTAGTCTCAGTGTCCGGCTAGTTTCTCTCCGTCGTGTCTCCGGCTAGTCTCTCTCCGTCGTGTACGGCTAGTCTCAGTGTCCGGCTAGTCTCTCTCCGTCGTGTCCGTCTAGTCTCTCTCCGTCGTGTACGGCTAGTCTCAGTGTCCGGCTAGTCTCTCTCCGTCGTGTACGGCTAGTCTCTCTCCGTCGTGTCCGGCTAGTCTCAGTGTCCGGCTAGTCTCAGTGTCCGGCTAGTCTCTCTCCGTCGTGTCCGTCTAGTCTCTCTCCGTCGTGTACGGCTAGTCTCAGTGTCCGGCTAGTCTCTCTCCGTCGTGTACGGCTAGTCTCTCTCCGTCGTGTCCGGCTAGTCTCAGTGTCCGGCTAGTCTCAGTGTCCGGCTAGTTTCTCTCCGTCGTGTCCGGTTAGTCTCTCTCCGTCGTGTACGGCTAGTCTCAGTGTCCGGCTAGTCTCAGTGTCCGGCTAGTCTCTTCGTCGTGTCCGGCTAGTCTCTCTCCGTCGTGTCCGGCTAGTCTCTCTCCGTCGTGTACGGCTAGTCTTAGTGTCCGGCTAGTCTCTCTCCGTCGTTTACGGCTAGTCTCAGTGTCCGGCTAGTCTCTCTCCGTCGTGTACGGCTAGTCTCTCTCCGTCATGTACGGCTAGTCTCAGTGTCCGGCTAGTCTCTCTCCGTCGTGTACGGCTAGTCTCAGTGTCCGGCTAGTCTCTCTCCGTCGTGTCCGGCTAGTCTCTCTCCGTCGTGTACGGCTAGTCTCAGTGTCCGGCTAGTCTCTCTCCGTCGTGTACGGCTAGTCTCTCTCCGTCGTGTCCGGCTAGTCTCAGTGTCCGGCTAGTCTCAGTGTCCGGCTAGTCTCTCTCCGTCGTGTCCAGCTAGTCTCTCTCCGTCGTGTACGGCTAGTCTCAGTGTCCGGCTAGTCTCAGTGTCCGGCTAGTCTCTCCGTCGTGTCCGGCTAGTCTCTCTCCGTCGTGTCTGGCTAGTCTCTCTCCGTCGTGTACGGCTAGTCTCAGTGGCCGGCTAGTCTCTCTCCGTCGTGTACGGCTAGTCTCAGGGTCCGGCTAGTCTCTCTCCGTCGTGTACGGCTAGTCTCTCTCCGTCGTGTCCGGCTAGTCTCCGTCGTGTACGGCTAGTCTCTCTCCGTCGTGTCCGGCTAGTCTCAGTGTCCGGCTAGTCTCTCCGTCGTGTACAGCTAGTCTCTCTCCGTCGTGTCCGGCTAGTCTCCGTCGTGTACGGCTAGTCTCTCTCCGTCGTGTCCGGCTAGTCTCAGTGTCCGGCTAGTCTCTCTCCGTCGTGTACGGCTAGTCTCTCTCCGTCGTGTCCGGCTAGTCTCCGTCGTGTACGGCTAGTCTCTCTCCGTCGTGTCCGGCTAGTCTCTCTCCGTCGTGTACGGCTAGTCTCTCTCCGTCGTGTCCGGCTAGTCTCCGTCGTGTACGGCTAGTCTCTCTCCGTCGTGTCCGGCTAGTCTCAGTGTCCGGCTAGTCTCTCTCCGTCGTGTACGGCTAGTCTCTCTCCGTCGTGTACGGCTAGTCTCCGTCGTGTACGGCTAGTCTCTCTCCGTCGTGTCCGGCTAGTCTCAGTGTCCGGCTAGTCTCAGTGTCCGGCTAGTCTCTCTCCGTCGTGTCCAGCTAGTCTCTCTCCGTCGTGTACGGCTAGTCTCAGTGTCCGGCTAGTCTCAGTGTCCGGATAGTCTCTCCGTCGTGTCCGGCTAGTCTCTCTCCGTCGTGTCCGGCTAGTCTCCGTCGTGTACGGCTAGTCTCTCTCCGTCGTGTCCGGCTAGTCTCTCTCCGTCGTGTACGGCTAGTCTCTCTCCGTCGTGTCCGGCTAGTCTCCGTCGTGTACGGCTAGTCTCTCTCCGTCGTGTCCGGCTAGTCTCAGTGTCCGGCTAGTCTCTCTCCGTCGTGTACGGCTAGTCTCTCTCCGTCGTGTACGGCTAGTCTCCGTCGTGTACGGCTAGTCTCTCTCCGTCGTGTCCGGCTAGTCTCAGTGTCCGGCTAGTCTCAGTGTCCGGCTAGTCTCTCTCCGTCGTGTCCAGCTAGTCTCTCTCCGTCGTGTACGGCTAGTCTCAGTGTCCGGCTAGTCTCAGTGTCCGGATAGTCTCTCCGTCGTGTCCGGCTAGTCTCTCTCCGTCGTGTCCGGCTAGTCTCTCTCCGTCGTGTACGGCTAGTCTCAGTGTCCGGCTAGTCTCTCTCCGTCGTGTACGGCTAGTCTCAGGGTCCGGCTAGTCTCTCTCCGTCGTGTACAGCTAGTCTCTCTCCGTCGTGTCCGGCTAGTCTCAGTGTCCGGCTAGTCTCTCTCCGTCGTGTACGGCTAGTCTCTCTCCGTCGTGTCCGGCTAGTCTCCATCGTGTACGGCTAGTCTCTCTCCGTCGTGTACGGCTAGTCTCCGTCGTGTACGGCTAGTCACCGTTTCCGGCTAGTCGTACCTAACTGTGCCTAGCCCGAAGATAAAGTTTAAGACTTACCATAGTAAATATCCCAAATAGAACTAAAAAATCCAATGGTGGAAAGTTTTGATATACGCTCAATGTGTCGGTTGAACGACACACTTGCTTACACCTGACACACGCTCAATGTGTCGGTTGAACGACACACTTGCTTGAACCTGACACACGCTCAATGTGTCGGTTGAACGACACACTTGCTTGAACCTGACACACGCTCAATGTGTCGGTTGAACGACACACTTGCTTACACCTGACACACGCTCAATGTGTCGGTTGAACGACACACTTGCTTGAACCTGACACACGCTCAATGTGTCACTTGAACGACACACATCCACTTGCTTACACCTGACACACGCTCAATGTGTCGGTTGATTGACACACCTGCTTGCACCTGGGACCAATCAATTCAAACTTTGGGAAAACTTAATTAAGTTGGCGACATAACAGTCGTTCTTGTAGCGACTCCCAGGCCTTTACACGCCCCCCCCCCCCCCACCACTGTACAAGACAGCCCCCTTCCCGTGCCCCCACCCCGGCTCTAGACTATTAAAGAAAGATATTTTTCAATCTATACACTCCAGTGGTTGGGCGAAGCAATGCGACCATTCAAAGTTGACATTATAAACTCTATAATAGACTCAAGCAGCTCATAGATCGGCTAACTGCAATACGCCTGCACTTTAGCCGAGTTTCTTATTATCAAGTTGTCTCCTCACAAGAAATTATGCTCACGAGCCGACCCGCGGCGTATCATACGCCGCTATTTAGTTGTTTTATTTTCTACTTTTCAGTAATTCATAATTTGTGAATTCGACAGTACCAATGCTGCCACTGAAAATATTTGCTTTAAAACACTATCAGTAGCGCGTTAAGGACGATATCCCCCCTGCTTTCCCCAAACCCTACCCCCCCCCCCCCCCGTGAAAGCAGCCTCCTCTTAGTTACCTTCCCTAATTTTAAAATCGTTTCAAACTAAATTATCTGCCCCTAATAGCCGTCACTAAACGTGCACTACGATCAGAGGCGTAGCGACCCTTCCCGGCGCCCGGGGACAAACTTTTCGACTTGCACCCCCCCCCCCCAAACTTTCGATTTCCACCCCCCTCAACCTTTCAATTTATTTTTCCAACCCATTTTGGCGCCCCCTAAGGTCGGCGCCCAGGGACATATGTCCCGTCCCCCCCCCCGCCCCCCCTCGCTACGCTACTGACTACGATTGTTTTCTATGGTCTCCAAGAAGAGAATTATATTTATAGATACTACACACACACTATGACGTCACTGCTTGCATCGTGAACAAACTGAAGGCTATGACTTAACTCGTTTCGGAAATAAGCCACGGAAATAACAAACGGAAATAAGCCACGGAAATAACAAACGGAAATAAGCCAAGGAAATAACAAACGGAAATAAGCGACGGAAATAACAAACGGAAATAAGCCAAGGAAATAACAAACGGAAATAAGCGACGGAAATAACAAACGGAAATAAGCGACGGAAATAACAAACGGAAATAAGCCAAGGAAATAACAAACGGAAATAAGCGACGGAAATAACAAACGGAAATAAGCGACGGAAATAACAAACGGAAATAAGCCACGGAAATAACAAACGGAAATAAGCCACGGAAATAACAAACGGAAATAAGCCACGGAAATAACAAACGGAAATAATAAATGGAAATAATAAATGGAAATAATAAATGGAAATAATAAACGGAAATAAGTCAGGCAGTAAAGTCATGGAAATACATCACAATTTTTGGTCGGAGAAAATACATCACAACAGTGAATAAACCGGGAGTGATCTCCCCTAAACTTTCTCGAATATTCTAATATAACACTACGTGGGATGTCAACTCGGAATATAGACATGATTTTTGTTTACTTAAACTTTTAAAAATAGAATAAAATCTAGTAGAAAAAAAAAATTGCGCACCAAGCGAGCACCAAAACCAAATGTGCGTAATAGTGCGCAATATTATTAGTACTTTATAAATTTACATGCGTTTTTTGAGAAATCGGAAATAGCGTAAATTAGTACTTCCGGTCAACGGAAATTACTCAAAATTTGATAGAAGGTAGAGAATTAGATCTTTTACTTATATGTGAAATTTCATTTATCTATCTGAAATAGTACTCAAGTTATAGGCTTTTAAAAAATTCAAAGTAGAAAAAGTACCACTTCCGGTTATCGGAAATCGCTCAAAAGTTGATACGGATCTACGATTTTGATAAAATACTTATATATGAAATATGAAATTTCATCAACCTAGCTGTAACGGTACTCAAGTTATCGTGTTTACACACGGAGACACAGACAGACAGACACACAGACAGACACACAGACATACGGACAAGATTGAACCTATGTTTTTCCGTATTAGTGAGGTGTAAAACGTCGAGATTTGTAAAAATCTCGATTATTTTTTTTTGCACGATTACAAGACTTTCTCTGTACTTCGTATATACGAGAAAGTAAAAAGTTTACAAAAAACATGGTCGCAAAAATTTGATAAAAGAATTTTATTTGTAAGAGATGATCAGCCGGCCTTGTCCGTCCACATTATGTTTTGTCTCAATGACGGCCTTCGTAATGTGTCGGCATTTGTACTGTGTCGGCATTTGTACTATGCCGGCCTTTATCATCGTATAACGGATAATGATTCGATGGCTGCTGTCTTAGGTGAGTATGTGACATCTTCGAGTACAACTAAAATAGACTTAGAAAGTGACATTTAGAAAGTGACATTTAGAAAGTGACATTTAGAAAGTGACATTTAAAAAGTTACATTTAGAAAGTGACATTTAGAAAGTGACATTTAGAACGTGACATTTAGAACGTGACATTTAGAAATTGACATTTAGAAAGTGACATTTAGAAAGTGATATTTAGAAGTGACATTTAGAAAGTGACATTTAGAAAGTGACATTTAGAAAGTGACACTCAATGTGACCGAATTGCTGCGCACATCATACAGTAGAACGTGACAAAACTATGTGGATAATCTAATAGGGTTAACGGATAATCTAATAGGGTTAATGGATAATCTAATAGGGTTAATGGATAATCTAATAGGGTTAATGGATAATCTAATAGGGTTAATGGATAATCTAATAGGGTTAATGGATAATCTAATAGGGTTAATTATAATCTAATAGGGTTAATGGGTGATATAATAGGGTTAACGGATAATCTAATAGGGTTAATGGATGATCTAATAGGGTTAATGGGTGATATAATAGGATTAACGGATAATCTAATAGGGTTAATGGATGATCTAATAGGGTTAATGAATAATCTAATAGGGTGAAAATATTTGGAAATGTGCTCGGCAATAACCCCAACAGTAGGCCTAAAACTAACCATAACACATTTAACCCTTAACTCATAGCCACATATACTAATCCGAACTCATAGTCTGTAATCCTGACTCATAGTCTGTAATCCTAATCCTAATTTATAACCTGTAATCCAACCCTAGGTATACATTCTAACCCACATCAATGTGCGAGATTCTAACCCACATCAATGTGCGAGATTGTAACCCACATCAATGTGCGAGATTCTAACCCACGTCAATGTGCGAGATTCTAGCGCACATCAATGTGCGAGATTCTAACCCACATCAATGTGCGAGATTCTAACCCACATCAATGTGCGAGATTCTAACCCACATCAATGTGCGAGATTGTAACCCACATCAATGTGCGAGATTCTAACCCACATCAATGTGCGAGATTCTAGCGCACATCAATGTGCGAGATTCTAACCCACATCAATGTGCGAGATTCTAACCCACATCAATGTGCGAGATTCTAACCCACATCAATGTGCGAGATTCTAGCCCACATCAATGTGCGAGATTCTAACCCACATCAATGTGCGAGATTCTAACCCACATCAATGTGCGAGATTCTAACCCAAATCAATGTGCGAGATTCTAGCGCACATCAATGTGCGAGATTCTAACCCACATCAATGTGCGAGATTCTAGCGCACATCAATGTGCGAGATTCTAACCCACATCAATGTGCGAGATTCTAACCCACATCAATGTGCGAGATTCTAGCGCACATCAATGTGCGAGATTCTAACCCACATCAATGTGCGAGATTCTAACCCACATACATGTGCGAGATTCTAACCCACATCAATGTGCGAGATTCTAGCGTACATCAATGTGCGAGATTCTAACCCACATCAATGTGCGAGATTCTAACCCACATCAATGTGCGAGATTCTAACGCATGCCCCGGTTAAACACACATCTGATACTAGCACCCAACATTTGCCATCGACATACAAACAATAACAAAACGTTCTTTCAGACGTCTTCATTCACTCAAACCACGCCCACTAGCCCCTTGTACCCAGTCGCCCCCCCCCCCCCCATTAAGCTATGGCTGAACGAATCTACACTGTGACGTTCTCAGACCAATTCAGAACTTTTTACTAGGTAAAGTGATCCAAGGTCCCAATGTGAACAAACTAACATGGATCAGTAATTTTAAAAACAGTCCACACGCTTGAAATGAATGGCATCATGTGGAGAGTCCTATACAGTTACAGGTAAACACACAGACTGACACACAGACCAACACACAGACCGACCAACACACAGACCAACACACAGACTAACACACAGACCAATACACAGACTAACACACAGACCAACACACAGACAGACCAACACACAGACAGACCAACACACAGACCAACACACAGACCAACACACAGACTAACACACAGACCAACACACAGACCAACACACAGACCAACACACAGACAGACCAACACACAGACAGACCAACACACAGACCGACCAACACACAGACCAACACACAGACCAACACACAGACCAACACACAGACTAACACACAGACTAACACACAGACTAACACACAGACCAACACACAGACCAACACACAGACCAACACACAGACCGACCAACACACAGACCAACACACAGACCAACACACAGACCAACACACAGACCAACACACAGACTAACACACAGACCAACACACAGACCGACCAACACACAGACCAACACACAGACCAACACACAGACAGACCAACACACAGACCAACACACAGACCAACACACAGACCAACACACGGACCAACACACAGACAGACCAACACACAGACAGACCAACACACAGACAGACCAACACACAGACCAACACACAGACCAACACACAGACCAACACACAGACCAACACACAGACCAACACACAGACCAACACACAGACCAACACACAGACCAACACACAGACCAACACACAGACAGACCAACACACAGACAGACCAACACACAGACAGACCAACACACAGACCGACCAACACACAGACCAACAGACAGACCAACACACAGACCAACACACAGACAGACCAACACACAGACTAACACACAGACCAACACAGACC